CAGGTCTCCAGTCCACCACAGGGACACTTGGACAGGTCTCCAGTCCATCACAATGACAGCGTAACTTCTACCCACTTGAATATCTTGCACCAAACTTTAAGGTTTACTTGTATTCCTTGTTCAAGTCCAGTTCAGAAAAAAACACTCGGCTCTAAAACTCCAACATTCACTTTTCAAATCTCTCCATGATGGGGGGCATCAGTGTTCTGCTTGTTTAATAAAGAATAACAAGGTGGAGTTTGTTGTGTGTTTTTCAGATTAGAGTTGATGGATTTTAGAACCTGGTAGAGCCCAGATGTAAAACTTCTACTAGCAATAGTTCAGGTTACATTTCTCTGATTATAATTTGGTTGGACAAATGCTAATAAGTTTGAGAACCACAGCAGCTAAACCTAAACTGGATTTTTATTCCGATTGGTTATTTTAAAACTAACTTACCATCCTGTCGCCCAAGTATGAGGTCAACAAAATGAACAAACCCTGCAATTGAAAGAGTTTACTTGATAAAAACACTTTTACTTGTTGAAGTTCTTTGTTGCTTCAGGTAAATAATACCAACCCTACCTGGAAGGCGTTCAGCACGACAAAGACGTAATTGATCACATAAGCCAGTGTTCCACTTGTGAGGTCGATGATCATCATAGATACTCCAAAAATCCATGTCACGCCAAAGATTGGAGTCAGAAGAATGACGGACCTCAAAACAACTTTGGTAGCTGCTTTCTCCTTTTCTTGGGACGTGTCTGTATTTTGATGGTGGCTTAAAAGCTTCATAATAACCACTAGCATGGAGAACACATTGACGAAAACAATTATACAAATTGGAATGATGAATGTGAATATGGAGCCCTTGAGAAGTCCACTGTAAACTAGCCAGCAGGTGTCTTGTGAATAGTAGACGCCTTTATCGCCTGCGTTGTTGGTAAGAAACGTGACAAAAACGATAATCAAGGGGCAACCATAGCCCAGGGCTAACGAGAACCGCAGGTAGTTTGTCTTGCTCACTTTATGGAACCAGAAAATTGCTTGATGCAGAAGTGTGGTGCTGAGACACAACATCCAGAAGAACATGGCCAGGTAGCAGAAATGCTTCAGCACCGCAGAGGTTCTACACCAGATATCAGTGATTTCTTTGGGGTTAGATGATGCTAAAAAGCAGGTGTTCGCTACCAGCAAGCACAGACAGATGTTCACATGGGCAGTATGGCGTAAATGCAAGGTATTTGTCTTAACTACGTCTCTCCAGACAACTACTTCTATCAAAAGACAGATAAAGAGTGACAGGATTGATATACCAAGACCAGCATAGGTTACCTCGTCTAACAGTGGGACAGTTAGGGGCTCTTTGGACATTAGGATGGCAAACGAGGAGAGATGTTCGCAGGTGCAGCGTTGCTCGTTGTTGGGGCCAGCCCACTGACACCCATCTGGTGACCATTTGTTCTCACTGTTGTTCCAGTAGACGCACATAATTTTAACATTACGAGCCCTTTCTTTGATCAGCTGAAAGTCTATTACAATGTCTTGTTTAGTTTGGTTGCTTCCATGTGAAGTTGTTGACACCACAATGCTGTTGGGCTCTACGGTGTTATCACTGTTGGGCAAATAGTTCTGCAGGAATTTGAATCCGGTTGTTTTCACTTGTCTTGAATTTGCAAGAAAAACTGTGGTATTGAAAACAGTGTTTGTGCATGTGCTATTACTGCATGCAACCACTTCTAGATTCAACTTGCTATTTTTTTCTGATATGTTTGCTATATGGACTAACATCTCAACCGAAGTCAAATACTTAGGAGCGTCAGAAGATGAGTTCCATGAGCTTTCCAGAGTCTTGTTCAGCAGATTACTGGATGAGTCCAGAAAGTCCTGAAAAGAAAAATTGAAATGGATCCACTAAAAATGTACCTACGTTATTATTAACATTTAAACACACATTATTTATTTAATAACCTTTATTTAACGTGGAAAATCCCACTGAGATAACTAATCTCTTTTTCAAGGGAGGACTGAAATCAGCCTAACATGCATGTTTTTGGTCTGTGGGAGGAAACCGGAGTACCCGGAGAAAACCCACGCAGCACGGAGAGAACATGCAAACTCCACCCAGAAAGACCAGGACCTTCTTGCTGTGAGGCAACAGTGCTAACCACTAATCCACCATGCTGCCTTTTACATTTGTTGTAAACATGTCGGCACAATATTAGCAATTTAAAGATGGTTTTTATCCACATTATTCATGGGGGCTCTACGGTATAAATGATTATGGGTTCTACTTCCTGTCAGACAGGAAGTAGCATCAGCACTGGTTAACCATGGTAGCAGAGCACGGATCGCGGTTTATTTGAAATTAATTTATATTCAGTTTAGCAGATAAAACTCAGTTTTTGTTTTGTTCACATTTAACAACCATGAAGTTGAATAAAATAGCCGTGCTGCGTTCAGGTACCGGTTGTGTTCAGGGCTGCAGAACAACCAGACCAAACAAAATCAGTGGCTACAACAACAGAGTTTGAACACGGACCCAAACAAATAGAGTTCCTGTGAGAAGAGGTTTAGTTTCCATCACCTACCTGCAGATGAGGAATTAAGAAGAATGTGTCTAAAAATGTGAACTTGAAGAGACCACCCAAAACTCTGCATGTGAGCTCATTTCACTTTGTTGACAAACGACCCGACTGAGGAAATCCTGCATCCTACTTTGTGTCCGGACTACAATAAACCACCGGAGAAGAGACGCCGGGTCCTCAGAAGATTGAAAACAGTGACGAGAACATCAGGTGTATGGAGGACACAGCTTTATAGTATTTGTTCATCTTCAGTTTTGTGATTTTTCTCTACAGTTAACTCAAGCTCAGTGATGGAGGACTTTAAGACTTTGGCTGGACTCTGTGTCTGATTTAAGATAAATAAGATTGTGTCCCACCTCTTTTAAAAAAAACACCACTGACCTTATTACTGTGTACAGTAGTCCCTCATTTATCGCTGGGGATCCGTACCCTGAAGACCCACGATAAGTGAAAAACCACAAAGTAGGAATAGTAGTACAAGTAGTAGTTTTTTAGTATATATCTTGTCTATATATATACACACACACAATGTCTTAAACCCTTCCCACACTCTTGCAATATTGGAAACAATGTTTATTAAACTCTAAACGCTCTAAAAGAACGCAGCATGTCATGATTTCAGTTCTCAGCCACGGCTGCACCCTGCGCTCTCGGCCACGCCCACTTCTCCACAGCAGAACAGAGATCACAGAGGAGGAAGGAGGAGCCGTTTGTGCAGCAGGTGCTAAATAATTTAAAATAATTCATGTTAAAATAAAAAGTCCATGCTGATTGTGTGGCTCATCCATCAATCAGCCATTTGTGTGTCATGTCCAATCTTATTTTGAAAAACCGTGATAGAGCGAGTTCGCGAAAAACAAACCACGAAGTAGCGAGGGACTACTGTAGATACTAATACGCCTCAGAGCTTTTCAGGTTGTTCATCACTTCACTGTCAGAAGAACCGAGTCAATGAAGTAGCTAAATAGGCTAGTAGATGTAAACTGCAGCCACTTCTTCAGCTCGTCCTCCATCATCCTCAGCAGGCAGCGGTATGATTATACTGTAATGTTTGAGCCCTGACAGCTGGTGTTCCTACAGGTTTAAATTAAATCCACAATGCTCAGAGAAACTACATTAGCTCGTCCTGTTCGCACATAAACAAACGCTGGTTCTGGTCTGCACTGGAAGTCACGCCCATGGTTCACCCAAGGCAGCATGGGGGCGAGGAATGAGGTAGATATTATTCATTCATCCAACTGAATTCATCCACTTTTTTTAAACTAACTTTTCCATGTAGGGTTGCAGAGAGCTGGTGCCAAGGGACACCCTGTCCTTCATCAGGACACATGGGGACAAATGAGACAAAACCATTATTCAGTCACTCCTAAGGAAAATTCAGAGTAACCAGCGAACATGACATGCATGTTTGTTCTGCAAGTTGTAATAATCACTTCTTCATACATGTTTTTGTGGCTTCCTTAAACAATTACATAAATGTAGTTAAAGTTTCTGATACTTACATTTATTGCAGTGATGCTCAGTATGCTTTTCAGCTTGTTGCTCAAGGTGTCCAGTACTGCGACAGAGGTTTTTATATTGGCAGATGTGTCTAATTTTGCTGTCTGAGTGACGTTCTGAAAGCGAGAAAATACTTGTGCAGCATTTACATCCAGGTCTCCAAGTCCAATGTCACTGATCTGTAAACACAGGAAGGATTGGTTAAAACATCCTGATGCATGCTCAATAATCCAGGTAGAAAAATCTAACAAAGGAAAGTCAGGTCCTCCGGACAGATTCTTTGTTGAAACGTTTCATCTTTTTTCCAAAAGGCTTCTTCAGTCCGAGGAGCTGCACTAAACTCAGTCTTATAAATATCACCTTCTCAAAGCGGATCAACCAATTTGCTGGAGACAGCTAAAACTAGCTGTTCAAATGATAAAGGAGGACCATCAGCCTTAACGACCGATCGTTAGCACCCTGATGGCTGCTTGCTATTCACAGTGACACTAGCAATAATAGCATTGTAAGAGGGGGCAGTTGGACATGGAGGCCTCCACCCCTGTTTAATGATGGATGGGTTCTTTTACCATACCAGCTTTATTTATAGAGCACTTTATATACCCACAGGACCAAAGTGCTGTACAGTACACACAAAAAAAACAATCATACAGTCAGAAAATAAAAGCAATTAAAATTATGAAAAGTCAACATTTCAGGTGGTGTCAAAGGCCAGGGAGGAGAGATGGTTTTAAGAAGGGATTTAAAAACAGACGGGGAAGAGGCCTGTCTGATGTTCAATGGAAGGTCGTTCCACAGTTTAGGAGCTGCCACAGCAAAAGCACGGCCTCCTCTGAGCTTATACTCAGGAGCAGCTGATCACATGACCTGAGGGATCCAGAGGGTGTGTACAGATGTAGCAACTCAGACAGATAAGGCAGGGCAAGTACATTAAGAGCTTTAAAAGCAAATAAAATAATTTTTAAATGAATCCTAAAATGTACAGGCAGCCAGTGCAGGGAGGATAAAACAGGAGAAATGTGGTCAAACTTTTGTGTGCCAGTTAAAAGCCGTGCAGCAGCGTTCTGTACCCTCTGAAGCTGAGAGATCACTGATCCAGTATAGCGTGAATACAGTAATCCAGTCGAGTGGTCACAAAGGCGTTCAGTACCGTTCCGAAGTGCCGCTGTGAAAGAATCGGTTTCATTTTAGCTGCCTCAGGTGGAAAAAACTAGTTTTAACAACAGCTCTGATGTGGTTTTCTAACTTTAGTCCAGCGTCGACTTTGACCCCTAGGTTTAGAACAGTTGGCCTGATATACTGGGCCAAGGAACCAACATCTGCATTGGGAGTCTCAGTATAGCTTCCAAAGACCATCACCTCAGTCTTTCCCTCATTAAACTTTAAGAAGTTCACAGCCATCCAGGCTTTGATGTCCTCCAGACAAGAAAACAGAGGGCCCAGAGAGTTAAGTCATTTTTTTAGTGGGACATATATCTGTGCATCATTTGCTTAACAATGAAAGGAGATCCCATATTTTCTAAAAAAAAATAGAGCTAAGAGGGAGCAGGTACAGCGTGAAGAGGAGGGAGCCTAAGACTGAGCCCTGTGGAACCTCACACAAGAGATGAGCAGAGGAGGACATGTGGTCACCAAGGCGGACACAGAAAGTACGCTCGGCTATGTAGGACCGAAACCTGTCCAGTGCTGCACCGCTGACACCCCCCCCCCCCCCAAAATTGATTCAAACGACAAAGTAAGATGTTATGGTCCACGGTGTCAAAAGCAGCTGATAAATCTAAAAGCAAGAGGACAACACAGTCACCAGAGCCCGTTGCTAAAAATATATTGTAAAAACTTTTAAAAGGGCAGATTTTGTACTGTGTGGAGATTAAAAACCAGACTGTAAAACCTCGACAATGTTCTGTTCTTTCAAATATGTCATAGTTGGTTGTACACCACCATCTTGAGAATTTTTGAAAGAAATGGCAGTTTAGGGATTGTCCTGTAGTTGGCAAGAGCAGAGGAGTCGAGTGGGTTTCTTAATGACAGGCTGGACAGCTGCATGTTTAAAATTTCCAGGGACCACACCAGAGGACAGACTGCTGTTCAGAAGAGCAAGGACTGACGGACCCACCATGAGGAAAACCTCTTTAAATAAACAAGGAGGAATAGCATCACTATGGTGAACCTGCTGGCTTCACAAAGATGGCTTCCGTCACTCCTCTCTCAAACCATCATTCCTCTCTGTCACGGACTTTTTCAGGGATGAAGATGTGCACTCAACCTTTATTGATAGAGAGGAACGATGGTTTGAGAGGAGTGAAGGAGGCCATCTTTGTGAAGAGACACCGTCCATCATTAAACAGAGGCGGAGCCTCCGTGTTCAACTGTCCTCCTCTTACAATGCTGCTATTGCTAGCATCACTCAGCCCTCTGTGAATAGCAAGTGGCCATCAGGGCACTAACGATCAATTTTTAGGATGATGGTCCTCCTTTATAATGTGAACAGCTGGTTGATCCACCATGAGAAGGTGATATTTATAAGACTGAGTTTGTTGCAGCTCCTCAGACTGAAGAAGTCCTTTGGATAAAAGACGAGACGTTTCTACAAGAAGAATCTGTCCAGAGAACCTGACTCTACTTTGTTAGATTGGTTAAAAAAGGTTTTTAAAAAGTAAACTAAAACACCAAAGTTAGTCAAAAAAGATTAAATAGTATCTGTGTAATGCTGTATATATTTAAATAAAAGCAAACAGTAAAGTTGAAATTACATTTTCTGACAAAAGCATAATTTTCAACTTTAGGTTCTGTTTTAGTAAAGTTAAGTATGAAAGGACTTTACAGTAAGAATATAGTACAGCTCAGTACATACCTGGGGCCAGGTAAGTACCAAGTATAGTGCAGTACTTGCTTAGTGACTAATATTTTGTAAGCATGTTAGCTTGTTCTGCAGGTGTTGAATACTTTGATTGTTGTAGCCGGTAAGTACCCATTAAAGTACTTGATACATACCATGGTACCAGGTTGTATAGTGTTTTACTACTGTTTCTATGAAACACTGAAAAGCTGAAATGTAATGAAAGTTTACGTACTTTGGCAGTATTCAGCACGTCATGGAGTTCCTGATTCACACATTCTGAAACAACGTCTTCCCAATTTCCTGCACTGAAATAAATATTTAAACGATATTTGAAATTATTAACAGAAAAGAAAAGTTTTATTGAATGTTTGCACATTTAGTTTTTTTATTATTTGCTACTTTAAAGTTATGATGAAGGTTTTTCAAAGTACAAAATAAATTAATCGTTGCTTGTTGTGGCAGTCGAAGTGATAAACTTTCCATCTTTACCTGCTGCACGTTCGTTTTTTTACTCCAGCCTGATTCATGCATTGTATTTCAGCTGCATACCCCGCCTTGGTGTCTTTCCAGACACCGTTAGGTTCCCCTTCACAGAACAGATCTTCGTCTGTCGAGCAGAGAACAGGTAAAAATGTACTTGGTTTTCATTCAGTAAACACACAGATCTATAACAACAATGTGTGCCAAGAAAACTTCAGGGAAATAAATCTTGATGGCATAGTTTAGACATTTTATGGGTTATGTTTTGTCTAATAATCATCAAGAGTTAGTAGCTTATCAGTGGTGACAACAGGAGAGCCAAGACTTTAAGAGATTAGCTGTCGGTTACTGTAACGTTCTATTAAACGCTGAAGGTCACGGTGTGATCATTATCACTTTACATTCAGTTTGCAACTCAGTAACTCGCTGACAGAACGGCCTTCTCCTCTTTTTATCCATCAAGTACTTCTTAGTTGTTAACACCCAACAGGGACACCCCATCTGAGCAAAAAAAAGGCCACCCATTTCTGTCCCAGAATTACCCAGCATGCACTGCTGCTCACAGTCTCTTATGTTAAAGTACAAAAAGTAATGTCAATAATTCAGACTGGCATTTATGAGTAACCTACAGAATTTACTGTTTCTTTGAAAATTTCATCATGTAATGAAACCAAAACAACTTTATTATTGAAAATTATCTATAAGAACCAAAAATTGATATTTAACAAATTTTTTTTTAGAGCAAGTACAATTTATGTGTGGGTTTTGGAATTTACAGGTAAATGCATCACAAATGTTCACATGATTTTAAAAAATAAATAAATAAAATGGTTGCAGGGCCTTCCTGGAGGCTCAACAGCCTGTGACTTGGTCCAACCCACTCTACATCTGCATTCTGATTGGTTAATGTTCCTGTCAGTTATTGAACAAATTCATCCTGAATAAACTTTAACTGGGTTCAGACTTCTCTAACGACAGTGAAGTCCCAACAGTGAGAGCTCCATCAGTTTTTAAAAAAAATCCTATAGTTAGGGTCGGCTTGTTATGCTGCTATAGGCTTAAACTACTAGAGGACAAATTGACCTCATCTCCTTAAATGAATTGTTAAAATTGAATAGTTTTCATTTGATACTATTTCTATCTTAACGTGATTCTTGACCTGCCATTGTGTATCTGTTCCTACCAGACCCAGCCGGTCAAAGCAGATGGTCCTCTTGTCCTGATCCTGTTTCTGCTAAAGGTTTCTTCCTCACGAGGGAGTTTTTCTTTCCACTGTCGCCTTCATGCTTGTTCAAGATGAGAGTTCTGTGATGGAGTTAAACTCAAAGCTGCTCCTCAGATAAATAATGTTCAATTATTATTTTTATATATGAATGTTTCTGTTCAGTGCCTGAGATGACTTCTGTTGTGACTTGGAGCTACAGAAATCAGAAATAAACTGAAATGAATTGAATTTCTGCCTCGAGACACAAATTTGAAAGGATCTGATTGGATAGTTGTACTTTGTATATTCATGAATAATAATAATAAAAAGATACATTAGAAAATAATAAAAAACTACATAGAAAATATGTATTTTATATATAATAAATATTAAACAAAACTTATTAAACGTAACATTTCATATGTGCTGAAATCTTAGGCCTTCTCTGAAAGCGTTGAAGGCCCATAGTGTTCCAGAGTGGAGCAGAGTATAAAGAAAAAGGAGTTATTTCTCAGAAACAACAAACTGCTGTGAAAGAACACGATCAAATAATTTTGTTTAAAGTCACACAATCATTAAAATAAGCTTCGGTCTTCGTCCTGCTTGAAGTTACAAGCGTTCCCATAGCAACAAATCTAAGCCCTTTACTTGATTCAAGAATATATGTAAAAGTTATTTCTGATTTTCTAGTTTTTTATCTACAAAGTATATATATATATATATATATACAATTCTGTCTTGTTCACGCATTTTCAAGTCTGTAAAAATAAAGATGTTTAATTCTGACATAAGCGTGTGTTCCTTCCGAGCAAACCACCCGGGCAGGGGAAGAGGAGAAAGGACATTGTTTCCTCTTACAAAGGCCAACACCAACAACCACGGTTATCATTTGAGGAAATTATGCTTTCTAGTTTTTATATTGCTTAAAACTTATAGTTTCCTCAAATGATTGGGGTGGCTGAAGATTAGACGACCAAGGCCACCACTGGCCACCACTGGCTCCACCATTACACCTGGAAGTGGATAAAACTGCTCCCTCCCCCCGACAGGATCTGTCACTCCGCACGGCCTTGGACAAGTAAAAAATAATACCCACTTGATTATTTTGCTCCAAAAATATTAAGGTTTACTTGTGTTCCCTGTTTAAGTTCAGACCAGACACTCATCTCAAAACTACAAACATTCACTGATCAAATCCCTCAACGACCGAGGAAATCTGCAGTTTCTTTTTAATTCTTTGGTACTTTGTTGATCTGCTTCAAAATCATGCATCTCAAAAGTTTGGAGATACTTTAAGGTGTGAACATAATTTTGTTGACAAGTTATTTGCAAATAAAACACGTTTGACCTAAAAAAACCCCCACACAAATCTAAGTGAATAAATAAAACAAACTGTAAATGTGTTCTCATTTATAGTAATAATGACATTGTGCAAAGCACTGTGATTATTTAAGAGCAATAAAGTTCATTATACATATTTGTAGTTAAAATGGCTAAAAAACACATTTCTTTGATGTTGTAAAACAAAATCAGTCTTTTAAAACAATATAAAAAAATACGTACAGCGTATGATTGTGAAGTCAAAGTCCTTGGTGGTAACTTGGCCACACATGTTTGTGAAATTGCACGATGCTTCAGCTTTCGTTGAAACCTCAGTACTTGATGGATCGCAGGAAATAACTTTTTTAGCTGTGTAGATTTGTGTCCGTTCCCCTGCAACAATCGCAACATGCATGTCAAATGCATGTACAAGAGCAAGTCTGCACAAAAATTCATTAAATAAGATCAATATCTAGGAGAATTTTCTTACCGAACATTGGCGTCTCTGGTGTGGCATGTTCTGACCAAGTCACAGTATAATTTTCATTCGTTTTGGCTATTTCACATTTAATAGTTACTAACAAAACATCACCATTTCCTTTACAGCGAGGAAATGCTGGCAACGTGGAAGTTTGAATGGTTGGTATTAAGCATATGTCCATTGTAGCATTGGCTTTGTGCTTTATGGTTGTTAAATTGGTTTTTTGTACAAAGAGACATATGTACTCTCCTGAGGAAAAAACAAAAAAGGTTTAGAGATATTATGTGTAGAAAATGTATTGATACAACTGAACATAACATTTTAGTACAGAGGCTTGGATATGATATTGGCATTACAGGAACGGTTCTAAAATGTTTTATATAATTTTTGTTTGATAGATTCCAGTTTTTAAATGTAAATACAGTAAAGAATTTTCTTCATACACCAAAGTTACTCATGGAGTTCCTCAGGGTTCAGTGCTTGGGCCAATACTCTTTACCTATACTTCCATTAGGTAGTTATTAAACAGCATGGGATCCATTTTCATTGTTATGCTGATGACACACATTTATATTTGTCCATGAAACCCAATGAATCCAATCAGTTACTTAGACTACAATCATGTCTTAAAGACATAAAAACCTGGAAGACCCTTAATTTTCTGCATTTAAACTCAGACAAGACCGAGGTTGTGGCTTTTGGACCTGAACATCTTGGGAATAAATTTTGCAGTCTTTTATTTTTTCTGGACAGCATTAATTTGGCGTGTTGTTTTTGATCAGGGTATATCAGTTACCCTATACATGAAAAATGTTACCCAGAATACAATCTTCCATCTGCAGAGTATCACTAAAAAAAATTGTCCCATAATGAAGAATAAAAACTGGTCCATGTATTTATCACAGCTAGGCTAGACTATTGCAATTGTTTATTGTCTGGGTGTCCAAAAAACTTTAAAGTCTTCAGTTGATCCAAAATGCTGCTGCCAGAGTTTTAATGAGAGTTAGTAGGAGAGATCATCTCTCCAGTTTTAGCTTCTCTCCATTGGCTCCCAGTCAGAGTTTGAAATCTTACTTCTAACATACAAAGCTCTCAAAAACCCAACTTCATTATTATTTTTTTCATTTAGCCTTTATTTATCCAGGTTAGTCTCATTGAGCCACGAGAACTCATTTTCAAGAGAGACCTGTTTAGGGAGCACATGGTGGGGGTTAAGGGCCTTGCTCAGAGCCCAGAGTGGGGTGAAGGAGGGTGGAGGCAGGTGTGGGTGTTCCACATTTTCCACCCACATTTTGATGTTGACGGTACTGGGAGTTGAACCTGCAACTTTCTGATCACAGGCCCATCTTCTAACCTCTGTGCCACCGCTCCCCCAACTCCCCCCCCCCCTCCCTCCTAAACAACCATAAGTCATCTAATATTACAGATCTTATTGTTCCACATTTTCCAAACAGAGGGCTTTGCTCTCAGGCTGCAGGTTTACTTGTGGTTCCTAGAGTTTCTAAAAGTAGAATGGAAGGCAGAGCTTTCAGTTTCATGGCTCTTGTGGAACCAACTTCCAATTTCTGTCCATGAGGCTGACTCTGTCTACTTTAAGACTACAATTTCTCTGTTACCAAAATATCTAACGAACAACTGGACAAATTTTATAAAACTTGCAGAAAGTGATCACTGGATGTACTTCCATTGGTGAGTAACATTTGGAGTCAAGATGAATGCCAAAGCGAACTGGCCTTAAAATAGGAAAACACATCACACTCCTACTCTGTGATGTTTTGTCAAATATTTATTAATAGTTTTTACCTTATCAGCGGTGACATCAGTCACAGAGTACAAAATATGGAGAAAACGGCAGAAGTTTTCATCCAGGCTAGGCTAACGGGTAGCCAAACAAGGACCCCCTTCATAGTATTTCAGGCTTATAAAACAAGACTCAACATCATACAGCTGTGAAAGAACACTACACCAGTTAATAATAAATTTGGACAAATCTGCATGGTGTGGGCGGCACGGTGGCGCAACTGGTAGAGCTGCTGCCTCTCAGCGAGAAGGTCCTTGGTTCGAACCCCGGTCCAGGGGCCTTTCTGGGTGGAGTTTGCATGTTCTCTCCGTGCATGAGTGGGTTTTCTCCAGGTGCACCGGTTTCCTCCCACAGACCAAAAACATGCATGTTAGGCTGATTGGTAACTCTAAATTGTCCCTAGGTGT